TGTCTTCACACCATCTGTTCTTCATATCAAAGGTCCTCCTTTGAACCTCTGCCTTGGCTTGTTGGAGATTCAGTTTCTTTTGCTTGGAATTGGTGGCGTTCTGCCAAGCACAAAAGGCCTTGTGCTTGCAGTCAATCAACTCTTGTATCTTCTGGTCGTTCTCATCAAAACAGTCTTGATGTTTCCTGATAGAGAATCCAAGTGTCTCTTCAAATCCCCATCATCAATGCCCTTGAAGGCACCCCAAGTGCTGCCAACATTCTCCTATTGATGTTGATTGGAATTTCCCAGTTTTTCATTGAGACACTGGTGGAAGAAATCTTGCATGATTGGGTCCTTGAGTCCTTCAATGTTGCTCTTCCATCAGTATTGTTTCTGCAGCAGCCATCACATGGGAGCCAATTTGAGTGATATAACTGAGTGGGTGAGTCAGTGACCAGTCCAGCAATCGTCAGCTCCTAACATAGCTTGGATAATGCAGACATCTTTGCAATACCGGGCACGAACAATGACATATTGTTATGTTGACATCGATATTTCCTAGGAGGTGGCTGTGCAATATTCCAGCCAGGCTCAGCCACCCCTGCTACCAGCTAGTTTGGGGGTGCACTGCCTCCCACCCTGCAACCCCAAGTCCCCCCTAGGATGCCCCTCACTCAGTCTCCACCCTCATCTTCCACAGTGCAACAAAATATGCCACCCTGAGTGGGAAGACTGGGTGTAGGCTACCTCTGCCCAGTGCAGGAAAGACATCTTCTCGGCTTCTTTGAAATGCAGCCTTTATTGTCCCATCCTTTTTTTTTGTCACGCATCTTCCAAAAAAATAAAATTAAAATGATGAGGCTCATTAATGCTTCACGTACAAACAAAGTCAACTCACAGGTTGGAACCCCCCCCAACCCAAAGCCATTGGGGCAACCTCCCCCTGCACCCCCCACCCCCCCCCCCCCCCCCCCAAACCCAGCCTGGCCCAAGAGGAAACCACAGAACTCAAAACAGCCTCAACTCAAAACAGCCTCAAAATGCTACATTTTGTCCCAAAATTCCCCCTGCCCACAGGGACCCATAGCCAGCTGCATCCTTCTCCCCACCAATCAAAACTGCTGCAATGGGCCTAGAAGGGACTGATGGAAAGAGAAAGGGGTGGGGGGAGATGGTTCCCTTGGATGTCCTGGCCTACATGGTTTCTAGTGGTAGCCAGCCAGGATACCAGGCAATAGCTTTTGACAGCTCTCAGCATGGTGAGAAAGAAGAGGTGAAGCAGTTTTTCCCCCAGGGCTTAGATGGCACTGGTGCAAATTTGGAGTGATGCCCATTTGGGAGGGAGAAGGAGAAGAAGATCCCAGCCTGGGAGATCCCAAACTGGGAAGATTCCAACCTGTCATATCCCAGCCCTTGGAGAGCTCAATTTAGAAGAGCCCAACATGGAAAATCCCAACTTGGAAGATTCCAGCCTGGGAAGATCCCAACTTGGGAGATTACAAACAGGGAAAATCCCAACCAGAAAGATCCCAGCCTAGAAGATCCTGACCTGCAAGAGATCCCAACCTGGGAGATCTCAACCTAGAAGATCCTGGTGTGAAATATCTCAACCTGCAAAATCACAATGTGAAAGACCCAGCCTGGGAAGATCCCAACCTAGAAAATCTCAATTTGGTAGACCCCAATCTGGAAGATCCCAACCCATTAGACCCATGGCCTCCTCACTCCCATCCAACCCAAGCCAGCCTGTGCTTTCACTGGGAATTGCCCATAAGGCATCAGGCTCCTGGGTGAACCTTTGCCTCCTGATCTGCCCCTTGTTGATCTAAGGCTGCTGCCTTCCCCTGTCTTGAGCTCCAAGGATCAGGGGTGGGGATGAAAAAAATATTCCCCCACATCC